GTTTTCCAAACTTTGGTGACAAGTCAAGTGTGTCAGGCCAAGCATAGTGACTCTGCATGTCTTACAGGTTACAGGGTAGACTTGAGTAGACTCTAGACTCTAGACTCTAGACTCGACAATACAATCTACAAGGGCCAAGAGAATACATATTCCTGTGTCACTGTCCACTCAAGTTACAGCAGTTAAGGTATGTTCAGCCCAAGTCTCTCACAGCTGTGGCTATGGCATTCGGATGGGGCACCTGTGTACAGTGTATAGGTACAGGTAGAGGTGGTCGAGTTGATCTAAATTCTAAATTCCAGATGGATCTGGCGCTTGCCACTGGTACTTACTGGCAGGACTTGCCTGCAAAAGCGCTGGACGCGAAGATTGCGAGCCTGAAGCAGTACCTGACTGTAGCAAAGAAGATCCTGGAGAGCCGGCCGGAGATTGAGCACAAGAACCAGAAATGGATCCAGGCCCAGATCACCCTTCACTCTGAGCTATGGAATTTGCGTTCTTGCTTTCACAAGTTCAGCTGCTTGGGGGTAGATCTGCCAGTTTGCTTGCAAGCGGACACAGGGAAGATTTCCTTTGATCTCGTCGGCAAGGCAATCATTGCCACAAACTCTGCTCTTACAGCCACTGAAGCTGCAACTCTGGATGCGCCTACTGTCCAGCTCGGTTCAGAGCACAGTGCTGATGAGGTGGTTCAAAGTGACGTGACACCTGTGGCTCAAAAGTTCTTGAAGGGGCAGCCATTTACTCAGATGTTCGCTTTGGAGGCTCAGAATGTCCAGGGCAAGGTGAGCGCAGCTTTGGAAAAGACAGGGGCCACTGCCTTGAATCATGCTCAAGATGGTGCGGCTTGTTGGTGGGGCCAGATTGAGGAGGAGAAAAAGGAGGACTTTGACCACATCATGGAAGTTGCGGGCAGCACGCTTGGCCAGATCGATGGAGGCTTGCTCAAGACACAAGTTGATGAGTGCTTCAAGGCCATTCTTGACTGGCACTGTCCATGAGTCCATGCCTTGGCCAGGTGATGGCTTGCCTGACTTGACTTGACTACTCAGTCTTGAGTTGTATGTGATGTAATGTCCCTGTAGCCATAGCCGTAGGTAGTGGCAATGTAGTGCATTGATGTGTAGCGTGTAGTGAAGTGTAGTGTAGTGTTCTTTGACTTCACCTGACTGCAACACTGGGGCTGGGTCTTTGACTTGACTTGACTTGACTTTGGCAAAATGGGTGACCCGTGACCAGGTCCAAGTTCTTTTTCACCAGACAGCTGCAAGCTGCAAGCAGCTATAGGGGCTCTTACTTATGGTGTGACTCTTGATGAGCGTTTCCTTGTGAGTGTGCGGTGGTGGTGGTGGTGGTGGATCTGCGTTTTGTTTGGGCCTGCGACTGGTCACGTGGGTGTTGGTGCGGGTGCTGGTGTTGGATCGGCGTTTGCTTGGGCTTGGGGCTTGCTGGTGGAGTTGCTGGTGCTTGGGTGCTGTGGCTGGCACTGCTCCACTGACCACTGGTCGACTTTGCATCGTTTCCCTTCATGGATGACATGGTGTTATGCCAGGGCCAGGGGTGACATCATGTCATGGCATGGGCCAAGGGCAGGATGAAGTCATGTCATGCCAGGCGATTTGTGGCGCTGGTGCGATCCGCTTTTTGTTTGCGCTGGTGCCATCCGCATTTTGTGCGAGCCGCTAGCGGCTGTGGCGCAGGTGCCGGAGATGCTGGTGCTGGAGCAGCGTTTGCTGCTCGGTGCGCGCAGCAGGTGTTGGTGCGGCAAGGGTGTGCAGGTGCAGGCGCAGGTGCTCCTGCTGGATTTGCATTTTTGTTGGGCGTGCTGGCGTCAGGTGCTGGCGCAGTGTGTTGGTGCAGTGCAGGTGCTGGCGCTGGCGCTGGACTGGACCGACGTTTTCTTGGGCCTTGGGGTGTGCTGGTGCTGGTGCGGCTGCTGCTGTTGCTGCTGCTGCTGCTACTGACACTGGATCAGCATTTTGTGTGGGCATGCGGCATGCTGGCGCAGGCAGCGCAGGTCCTGGTGCCAGGATCGTTGATTGATTGACTGTGTGACTTCCCTTTGTTTTTTGTCTTCGTGGTCATGGATGGCATGGTGGCATGGTGACGGTGTCATGCCGGGGACGACATCATATCATGCCAGGGGTGAAATCATGTCGTGCCAGGGCCAAGGGTCACATCATGTCATGCCAAAGGTGACTTCATGTCAAGCCAGGGACAAACAATATCCGTTCATATTGTGCCTGACAATTTGACGCGTGTCTGTTGTGTCTGTGTCTATGTCACATGTCTATGTTTCGCCTGGCCCTGTGGTACTGGTACTGGTAACTGCCATTGCATCGTTTCCCTTTTTGGATGACATGGCGTCATGCCAGGGATTACATCATGTCATGCCAGGGATGAAACCACGTCATGCCACTGCTCATTGACAACGAAAGCTAGCAGCTCAATAAAAGTGGATTCTCTGCACCAAGATTTGCTTTTCTTATATTCTGAAATATTTACCTGCAATCTGGGGTGGGTCTATTCAAAGTCTATTCTATTCCTATGCCAGTGTATTTCTATCTGTGACTTGTCAACTGGTCTGGGCAAAGACTAGGACCTAGGACCTTGTCAATCCCAAAAGCCCAAGGCTCAAGCAATGGGTCTAAGTCTAGGCCGGGCCTACCCAGGCCTACCCGCCTCAGGCCTGCCCAGGTGTAGGCCGCCTAAGTATGGGTAGCCATACTAAATTTAAAGACATTGGAATCTCATGACATGACATCTACCTGTACCAGAAGCCCGAATCTACCCGACCCAAATCCACCTGCCCAATGACACCTCCTTTTGAATTGGTGACCTCAACCTAGGACCTATATTCCACCACTTCATTGGGTCAAGAATTTTTTGACCTTGTGGACAGGAGGACCGCCTAGATTATATTAGTTCCCAATTGATTTTTTGAATTACCTGGCTGAGTCAAAGGCGACAACCAGATTCGGAATTTGCGTTTACTGTGGCCTGCTTGCAGGCCTTGCAAGAGATGGAGAAATTCATTCAGAAGTTCAAGTGTGCCTACTTGGCTTTGGGCATGGAGGAGCACAAGGCTCTGCAGTGGGCGCACACCAATGGCCAGGTCGAGTATCACAAGTTGAACTCTCTGTGCTCGGAGGGTCTGATCTGGCATGCTCTTACCCACCGGGTCAAGGGAACTCGCAATGCAATTCTGTCCCAGGTCAATGAGGAGATTGCGGCTGAGGTGGTGCGCACAGAGTACATCCACCCAACCCTCTTGGCCAAGGCTCAGGAGAGGTTGGGCTGAAGGACTTTGAGAGTGGCAACAGGGCAAAACGGTAAGGCCAAGGCTTCTTGAGTGAGTGAGTGAGGCCCCACAGCTCCACTCCCTGCCGTTGCAAAGCAGGCAGACGCTGGAACGTAGGACTGCGGTGTAGGAATCGCAGGACGCAATGACTGAGTTGAAGATCCGCTGCTGGTGAAGATCCGCTCACCGCTTTTGTTGACACACCCCAGGTAGATCTAGTGTAACTAGTGACGTGACTGTGGTGACATTCTTTGTCGTCGCCATGCCATAGCCGCAGCCACAGCCATAGTCATAGTTTTACTCAGGTGTTTTGGTGTGAGTGGGTTTTTGCAGTGGCAAGGACCAAGGACATGGCGAGGGTTCGGCCTTTGCAGGAATGACGTGTGATATGTCTCAAGTAGCCTGGGCCTGGTAGTAGGCACGACAGAACCCCACTTGTTGGTTCACAAAGAATCCTCGCACGCTGGATTGGTAATTTTCCATTTTTTGAGTTCCAGCTCATTTTGGCCTGAAATCGCTCTGGGTCACTGGCAGGCCACTGGCACAAAGCTGTGATGAAAGCGACTGCTTTCACAGTGTTCACTGGGACCATGAAGTTGTTTGGTCATGAGATGTCATGAGTTATACTCGCACTCATATAGCTGTCATGGCTACTAAGATTTATTGTATTATACTATATTACTATATTTTATTTACTATATTGCTGGAGGCCCTAGGCCTAGACCCAGACTTAGATCTGAGCGACGCTGACCGTGGACGTTGGCAAGAGTCAAAAACCAAAGTGTGTGTATGGCTTCTATGGCAGCTATGGCAGCTATGGCTGCTATGGCAGCTATGGCAGCTATGACCATTTGTTTGCTGTGGAGGCCAAGTTGTGCAGGATGGTGGGATCGGTTCGGACTCGACGTACCTTTAGAAACTTTACTAGCTTGTGTGACCGTGACTATAGAAGATATGGACTGTAGGAACCTTACCCTGGATACATTGACCTGAATAGAGGTGTATTGATTTATGACTCCTGTGCGCTCTTCCTCTCTCTCTCTCTCTCGTTTTGCTTCACGTCTCTCTTCATATTCGATTTTGCCTGTGCCACTTCATTTCATGGAGTCTTCTCATCCCCTCTCATCTCCTTTCACTGTTCTTTCAAGCTTTTTGCCTCTCCGTTGCACTTGCAAAACACATCACTATCCAACTGTCATGTTCTTGGCGCAGGCTCTTGTTGTCCCTGCGCCATGCCACGCAATGCCGCTTAAACTCCATGTTGTTCTCCTTACTATTTGCTTGCTCTGACTTATGAGTTTGTTACTAGTTTAGTTCAATGTTGTTGTCCTCTTTGCCTGTGTATTCCATAATATATATGCCGGCTTTCTTTTGCTCCTGAGTCGCTTGACTGGACATTTTTGTGTTTTTTTTGACTTTTTTGTTTTTTTTTGACTTTTTTTGACTTTTTTGACTTTTTTTTGACTTTTTTTGACTTTTTTTTGACTTTTTTTGACTTTTTTTTTGACTTTTCAATTTGACTTTTTTTTGACTTTGACTTTTCCAGTTGACTTTTTTTTGATTTTTTTTGATTTTTTTTTAAATCAAGGATTCTGGCCTTACCATATGAAAGTTTTTTATAACTCTAGAAGAGCAGTTGGAGAAGCCACGCTGGAAAAGCGCCATGATTGTGAAACGAGAAACAGAAGCTGACACCATGATGGGGCAATACAATGTTGAGATGCTCCGGAGATGGCGCGCGAGTATGGATTTACAGGCCGGGGCAACAGTGAGTAGGCATGTATATTGTTAAAAAATATATATTATATACATATATATACACATATGCATCGAATTAAAGCAGATTGGGAGTGGAGCTTACACAAGCAGATGTGAACAAGAGCGTGTTTTGCGTCATTCCACAACCACATACCAATCACCCTTCCTTTGTCAGGTCATCTCTGACGTCAGCAACGCCAGCAGATACATCTTGGGTTACGCTTTCAAATCGGAAGAGGACCAGGCCGCGGCTCGCAGAATGGAAGCCATCATAGCCAACCTGACCGCAAACAATGACGACAACACCCTGAACAACCAGCAAGTTTACAAAGCCGCCCACGCAGCGTTGCAAGGAAGGACCACCTCAACCTTCGAAGCATGTCACCTGCTGCTTGGCTATCCGGTGGTGCAATTCTCAAGGGACAATGTGTGGATACAAGCTGGGCCGCCCGCCACTTGGACCATTTGGGTGCCAAAATGGGATGAGCTGCAAGCACTTCAGCAGCCTGACGCCTACTACAAGGCAAAGCAGCGGCAAAGAGAAAGCCAATTACCTCTGGCACAGTTCTGGTACCAGGAGTTCCAAACAAGCCAAAGCGAAGAAGAAGTAGTCGTGCCCGTCGAAGGTGGTAACCCCGTCTTGCAAAAGTGGAAAGACATCACCTTCTTCGACTTCTGCGCTGGCTTCAAGTTTCGCGGCTGCCAAGAACCAATTCCTCGAAAGCGACCTGCAATCGTGGGCTACCGCAATTTCAACCCGGACTTGGAGCCAGAGCCGTTTTACTATTCAAGGCTTTTACTGTTGCTTGGCTATGGTCAATACCCTTTAGCTTAAAAAATGACATAATAATAGACATTTCCGAAAACCGGCTGTGTGTCCCAAGCGTTAATTACATATTTCTTTGTTTGGGGTCCGGGCACGCGCGTGCAAGCCAGGCATACGGTTTGGAAGGAGCCTGCTGATTGGCTACAGCCGGAAGATGACGGCAGCCACGCTGCAGCTTTCCAACGCATCGCTGCCGACATTGCCGGCCATCCCAACTTCCTCAGGTCCGTCTGCTTGCCAAAGTTGAATGGCACCGTCGAAGCCGCCAGGAAGCTCCAGGCTGTCCAAGCCATCATGTATTTGAAGGCTTCCTCGGATTTGATGGCTTCGTCATCACGAGACGGGTTTGTGCACACAAGGGCGGCCGAGCAAAACTACAAGGATTCCTTACTGATCATGGAAGCCCTCAAAGCCAGAAATGACGGTGAAGAGTTTGATTTCCAAGCCCCAGAAACAATCCCCACAGGCTTTGCGAGCAACGCCTTTGCGCCGGTGGACGGAGGGGACGAGGCCTTTGAAATGCTGACGGTGGAAAACCCCAGCGAGGACGTTCTCAAGCAACGCCACGCCATGGAATGCATCATCCAAGCAGTCCTGGCTGCGCCAACCGCCAAGAACATGGCAAGCCCCGGCCAGCAGTTGAAGATGCTTCTTCATGGACCGGGTGGGTGTGGTAAGTCTGTCGTCGCTCGCGCCACAGCCCACATGCTACGCCAAGCTGGAAAAGGGGTCATCATTGCCGCCTACACCGGCGCGGCTGCCTGGAACATCAACGGTGTAACCTTGCATTCTTGCTGTTTCCTGCCTGTCATCAATGAAAGCTATGGCAAAGGGTGCGATGTGCCTTTGCCACAAGGCCTGGGACGAAGAACAATGCAAAAAACACAGCGCAGCAACTGAATTCTTTCCCTCCAACAGCGGTGTTATTGTGGTCTGTAGGTCGTAGGTTTGCACTTTCCACGCTTGCGTCGCTGCAGGCCCGCAACTAGCAGCTTTGCAGGCCATATGGGCCAACGTGACCGTCCTCATTGTCGATGAGATCAGCTTTGTCTCGTCCTTCATGTTGGAACGGTTGGATCAACACTTGCGCATCGCAACAGGCAGCCAGCAGATGCCCTTTGGTGGTGTGCACGTGGTCTTTGCTGGTGACCTCTACCAACTGCCACCGCCCAAGGGCTTGCCCTGCTTCGCAAGCTGGCTTTGGCGCGCCCTAGAGCTATGTGAGCTGCAAGGCAATCAGCGCGCAGCCAGGGATCCAAGTTGGGCAGCGCTGTTGGCTCGTGCGCGTGTGGGAAAGTGGACGGCCAATGACATAGCAGAGTTGAAAAGATTAGTCATCAAGAAGAAGGGCAACAACCGCAAACAGCCCGCGCCCAAAGCCGTGCATTGGTATGCAACTCGCAAGGCCGTGGCAGATTACAACCGTGAGCATCTGTACGTCCATGCTGCGAGCAATGGATGGCTGCGTGTGCACGTGTCGCCGGCATCAGATGTTCATGTCAAGTCCGGGGCGCCGGTGCCAGAAGACTTGATTTGGGCACGACCTGAAGACACGGGGGGGTTGGAGACCCTGTTGCGGCTAGCCGTTGGAGCCAGAGTGATGCTTAGACACAACATCGACGTCCCAGATGGCTTAGTCAACGGCGCCTGTGGGACAGTGGCCGAAATCGAGGTAGACCCTGATAGCCAGGAAGTCGTCAAAGTGTGGGTGGACTTCGAGAAGCAAGCCGGCTCCAGGTGGTGTGCTGAGCACGAAACTACTTCAGTGGGCATCGTCAGGCGAACGGCCCAATATCTCGACAAACAAGGGAGCAAAGCCGAGCGGCGCCAATTCCCATTGGTATTGGCCAAAGCCACCACGATGCACAAAAGCCAGGCAGCCACATACCACGATGGGGTGCATGCGCGTAGACTACGCTGTCACGCAAGAAGGCCAAGCTTATGTTGCTTTGAGCCGCTGCCCCACCAAAGCCTTGTGCTCCCTGGACCACTTCAACCCGAACAGCCTCAAATTCAACATGGGCGCTGAGTGGGCGCTTACGAAGCTCAAGGCCCAGCAAGCGGGCAAGCACGGGTCGAACTTATGGGAAGCCGTCATGAAGCCGCCGGAAACCAAAGAGTTCTATGAGGAACGGCTTCGGGTTTTGAAGGCCCCCAACTTTGCCGTGTACGGAGAGCCGGCAAAAGAACGCGACAGCTGGTGCTGCCCCAAATGTGGCGAAAGCACCGCCAACACCAAAGCTGCCATCCAGAAGCACCGGCGGCAATGCCCAGCAAAACAGCCGAAAGCGAAGGCCAAGCCCAAGACCTTGCAACGCAAGCGCCCCAACACTGAAGCCAGAACCAAACCAAAGCCAGCAGCTGTGGAGGCGCCGGCAAGCGCTTCTCTGATGGAAGAGCCTTTGAACATCCAGCCTTACTTCGAGAAGCAAGTTGCCTTATAGTGCGGCGTCCACGCACTCAACAACGCATTGGGCGCTCACTATTTCGAAGCCGTGGATATGGAACATGCCTTGGCAACCTTCCTTGAGGCAGGGCGCGGCTGCTTAACATCAATCAAGACTGGATAGACACATAGGTAGATAGAATAATTTATATGCGTGTCAATGGACTTGTACAACTATACATGCCCACTCACCAGCAGACAGCTCGCAGGAAAACATGGATCTTGGCGACGCGCACGATCAGCATATGGGCCCTGGCGGCAACTATTCCATTGAAATCATGCTCATGGCCATCCGCACCAAAGCGATGCAAGCCTTCAACCGCATTGTGTGGCACATGTCAGACCAAAGGGCTTTTAGCGCTGGGGACCTGCAAGATGCCTTGGGCGCTGTGCAAAACCGCGGTGGGCAGCATTGGGTGGCAATCAGATGCAGCGGTTCGAATTTCCTTTACATGGATTCTCTGCAAGAAGGCCAGGGTGTAGATAGTGTCAAAACATTACCCCCCCTACTTCAAAAACAGGTTCCGATGTGAAGCCGAAATCGTTTTTGCCAGGCCCTGTGCATTGGCCAGCCCACCAAGTGGAACTGAGCATGGCCGAGCATCCGACCTATACAATTCGATTTGCCTAAAGCGGCATCTTTTGCGCAAGCTGGGGGCGTGTAAAGGGCCTAAGGCCACCGAAAGATAGCACAGATTCGGGGCTAAGGCACAATAGCACAGACGCAGCCCCACAAACAAAAACATAGATGAAAGAGCAAAAAGGAGCACCTGGCAAACTTGCAGCCTGGAAGGGTAAAACCACGCCAGCCACGCCAAACGCAGAGGTATGGAAGGTTGTGGCATGGAAAGCACTTTGTAATTTGCTTGCTTCTTCTGGTGGCTCGAGCCTTCGTCGCGCGCTTGCTTGCCTATAGAACAGCCACTGGGCACGCAACTTGGCAAAAACCAGTGTTGCAACAACGCCTCGGGCAGTTGATTGAACATACAATGCCCTAGCTCCAAGCTATATATTGAAATCTTGGAACTTTGGACCTGAACCCTATACAAGTTCTATCACGGAAAGAGTAAACAAGCAATATTAAGGTCGTAGGGTTCTAAATGGAATTATGAGCCAATTAGGGGCGTAGGGTTCTAAATGGTGTAGGGTTTTGAGGATTTAAGGGGTTTAGTGGTTTTAGGGTTTAAGGTGCCACTCTAAGCCTTTAGGGCTTAGGAGTTTGAAGGTTAAATATGGGTTTAGGGTTTTAGGGTTCCAAATGACGTCGAATTTTGATGGTGGTTGGACAGAAAGGCTTTCTATAGCAAAATTTGTCTACAGAAATGCTTTCTATGGCAAAATTGGTCTATGGAAAGGCATTGTGCAGCACAATTGGTCTACAGAAAGGTTTTGTAGATTAAAAAGATGTATTATTTTTAAGAAAATTAAAAACAAAACTCGCACAAAACCCGGTCAAAACCCGCACAAAACTTTGGACCTGAACCCTATACAAGTTCTATAAACCCTAAACCCTAAACCCTAAAACCCTAAACCCTAAACCCTAAATCCTAAACCCTAAACCCTAAAACCCTAAACCCTAAACCCTCAAGCAGCTCTCTAAATAGAAGTTATATATCCTTGAGATGCATCCTCCAGCTCCTGGACTCGAAATTTTGGGGGCTTGGGCCCTGGAACCTTGGAGCTTAGGGGCTTGGACCCGGGAACCTTGGAGC